GTCGGGTCAACGTCGGAAATGAACTTTTCTAATTCTGGGTTTTAGGTTCTGGGTGTTTTGTAACTTCGTTGTCTCAGATACTCCATAATACGGGGGCTTTAGCTACTCATCATAATCTAAACAATGTGTGTGATGTTGTCTTATATTTGTTTATATTTATTTTCTTTTTACCCCAGACATTATACTTATTGTATAATATCTGACGCTTAGATCTGTTATAGTAAAAAAGCCTCACTTCTACCATTAAGTACTGGATAACGAATGGATACTGCGAGAACCATGGTTGCTAATAGAACGCCCATGTTGCCTTTTATTAGACCCAACCAATCTGCTGTCTATTTCACATACAAACAATACATGCTTGAATCCTTGTTGTGAAACAATACATTTTTTTGGCAATACGGTTGCAGTTGCAGGGTTAAAGTTATAAGTATGAGATATACTTAAAAGCACTTATTTTAAGTATATCTCAAAATAAACATTCTGATTTCTTGTAACACTCTACCAGTGTTATTAATAAAAAAGGTTTAGCGTCAGAGTAGATTTAAGCTAAAATTGCAATTTCAGTATTAGTCCAAAGTTCTATTATTCGGAAAATAAGCAAACCTACTACCTACTCTAGAAGTAAATACTACTCCCAAAGAACCTCGTGCTAGGTCAACCTTAGCTAATTTACTGTTTAATATTATGAATTTTGACTTATTCTAAGTGCAGCCTCAGCGTAAGATTACTACAACGCTAAGCCTTGTTTATTAATAATACTGTAATGTTTTAGTAGACGAACTATGTAGGTATTTGTAGAGTATGATGAACTGTAATTTTTAGCTCAATTCATTTTTTATGATCCCAAATCTTTTTTTACTTTTAAGATATTTTACGAGTATAATATACGGCTCCAATTAAACCACTTTAAATATTTTTTAATGGTTAAAATTTTAGAATAAATTTAAGAAAAATATTATATCTAATTCTTTTGGGTCAACCTACATATAAACAATTCAAATAACTCGAAGACAATGGTTACTATTTTTATCATCAACTAGAAATCATCGCAAAATGGAATATAAAACTCCCATTGAAGCTACAACATAATTAGGGCCCTTCATTCAAACTTACTGTGTTCAACAGAATAATTATGACACTAGCAGGGAATACGCCACGCTAGTTAAGAATAGGCCCCCAACAAGCTCTTGCGTTGTTTCTTTTTACACTTCAACTGTTGGGATGCGTATCAGAGTGTCGGCGGGTGTAAATTGAAACACTTGCAAATTTACCCCATACATTATTCATGTACCAAACACCCCCAACAAAAGCTTGACTGCTACTGTTGACGTGAAGTTTGTAACTAAACCAAAACTGAACGTAAAACGTGGATTCGAATATAGAATAACTTTGATTGATGTGGCAGAAATCAATCTGGTTTCTATTTCTGTTTTCTCTTGTCTAGGTGATGCACTATTGACCTGACCGTATCCAGTCTCTTAGAGCCTTGAACCAGGGTTGTTGAGAATATCGGCATCAAAATCAACATGCTCTGATTATCAGCATTGTTTTTAATATCAGCATCCGCATCAACAACAATCGATGCTGATATTCAAGTCATAATGCGTTCGTGGATGGCAAGAACGAGCGCAACTCACGTGGAGAAAGTTTAAAAAGGAAGCTAGCACATGCTCGCTCTTTAGTTTGTTTTGCCAACCTAATTTGCTTGAGACTAACAATGGCTAATAGGGATAATAACTAATTTTTATTCTTCCGTCCGTCAGGTAGATTGATGAAGAATATTAAACAAGTTGTTTTTATTTTTTGCGTAATCAATACATTACGTCACATTATAACTGTGTAGTGTAGTTATGATGTAGGGAGCACCCATTCCTCAACTTTGATGCCTATTATCTAAGTAATTTTAATGAATTTCAATTTCAATTCAATTAAAATGAAACAAAAAAGTATCTAATGTTTTTTTTATCACATGACTGACGGACTAATTATTTTACTAATTATTTTCTTTATTTTTACCCAGGCATCTTCCCATTCGTTGTTAAATACTAGCTGTTCCCCCGAGACTTCGCTCGTGATAATTGACTACCTACTTTACAAAACAGAAATAATATAACTTAAAAAATAGAACCAATTTCAAACTTTAAAAAATAAAAAATAATATTTATCTCAAAAGCGACTTATTTAAGAAAATTTTACTGAAGTCGGGCCTATAAATTAATTAATAACCTACACAAAACCTCCGCCCAATTTTAATAGCATTTATTGCATAAGTCGCTTTTAAGATAAGTATTATTTTTCCCTTTTTTTAAGTTTGAAGTCAGTTCTTTTTTAGTTTTATTTTCAAATTAGCGTACTACATTTGCTTTTAAATTTGTGATATATATTTTATTTAAGTGATTTTGTTAATATCAGCATCAGCATCAGGATCCGCTAATATAGGAAAAACCCGCATCAGCAACATCCCTGCGTTGAATACTGAGTTTTTGGGATTTGTTGCGATAAAGACGAATACACACGCGAGTCTGACGCAGCTTGTACAAGCTGCATCTCACTCATATCACAGATTCTTCTGTATGGTCACAGATACACATAGTATGGCTTACAAGACAGGTCGGTATGATTGGTATATCTAATGGAAGATGTGTCGAGTACACAGAGTATCCCAATTTTAATTACTAAATCCCTTATTGAATTCCTTAAGTTAATCGACTAACCATGTGAGTAGGGACTGGATGTAGTCTAATTTTAGATAAATAGATAGAATTAAACCCATTAATGCTCATAACGCTTCGTGACTTTTCTTCATTGCCACAAGGCGTTGTGGTCGAATAGCATATCAGTTACGGCACGGATTTCGCTATGTGGTTATTTTACTGTTACAACGCATTGTGAACATTTTTTTCGCATAAATATATCTAACACATATTAGATTCAGTAATTAAAATTCTGTCAATAAGGACGCCGCTTTAGAATCCCCGCTAGTTATAAAATTCAGAGGGCCATAAAGCAACTATCTATCCTATCAATCGCAGTACTGTGCTTGAATGACCAATAACAGTATAGGACTGCTATTGGAACATATTTTAGTTGGTTTTATATTACTACGGCTTTCAGAATTCTTAGGAGACACTAGTTCATTAACAAATCTCTGTGGTTAAACTATAATAAATTAAATGTTACAATTAATAAGCGACATCCTCCTTTGGTTGCAATCAAGCTAATAAGATCTTTGCATATAGAATATATTACCGAGTATGGCGTCCAATAACATTAGTTCCGGACGTGGATTTCTACTTATGTATACGTTATTGTCGTGAACGAGGCAATAGAGTAATTGTCTATATGGCTTTGCGATGTGAAAATCAGACCCCATTCAAAGCTGGTACAGCACATAAGTAAAGTGGGTCACCTATTATACGTCTAACAAATGGGTTCCCGTCTAAGACCGTCTGCAGTAAGGAGATTCAGAAACCCGCAACCTGCATTATTCTGACCCTAATAAATTTGCCGAGTCAAACGGGTATTGTCAGACAAATGAGTCGGAAGACTTACGGTAGAATATTAGATGTAGTAGCAACGGATACGTATGAAGGTGTGAACCCAAATATGTTAGGAAACTATTCGGTAGATCATTTGTAAAGGGTAAAGGGAACATTGAGAGAAAATAAATTCATAATAGGACTTTTTTCTGGTTCCGTATCTCAAAAGGAAAAAGAAACCATTATAAGATAACTCCATTGACCATCTGTGACACTTTCAATGGAACCAAAACATGTAAAATAACTAATCGATAACCCGCAATCATGGTATTTAGCAAGAACATTTATAAGGCAAGTAAAGGAATATACGGAGACAGCAAAATTTATGTACACACAGCTGCACAATATGTCAAATTCTCGAGTTGATTTTAAACTCTATCCTCAAAACATTAAAGTTACAATCGAGTAAGCAAATTTTTGCTTTACAAAATCGAAAACAAAGTTGGGATATCTAATTTTAACCGAATTTAAAAACCTTCTTTGTAGCTATAAATATGTATTTACTATATTTATTATATCGTCTATATCTTCTAAACTTAATTGATATAACGAAAATATGTTAAAAACTTTTTATAATCCTGCAAAATAAATAAAAATGAGCCAACCTTAAAACCTACAGAAGCGAAATGTTAATTTACAAAACACATTTTCCTTGGAGAGTTTAACGTAATTTCTTTCTCACCGAGGCGTTTCCTGAAATAAATTACAAGTGTAAAATTCACAATAACAAAAGCAAAACAACAAAAGGCTCGCGGCTCGCAACATCCGGACGACCCTTCCAAACTTAGCAGCCTGATTACGGATTTCCGAGCAAGAAATATAAAAGAAATAATACTTACTCTATAGGACCTATAGAAACAGTATTTTCAAACAAAACTTGAAAAGAAATGAATTCATAATAGATATTCATCATCCATGCCGCTGGTCCCGACTGCATTTGCTGTCGTTTAATATCCTCTAATCCGAGGCCAGCGTCGAGGGTCATGGTCCATCCTCCTCAACCATTATTAAGGTAGGCCTGTGCCCCTGTAGTGTAGTGAGGACGTAAAAGGGGCTGATGATGATGATTCATCACCCTCATCACCCGCCTCTTAGTTTTCCCCACTACTGGGGCTCAGGCCTTCCCTATAGATGGAATCGAATCGTATTGGGAAAATGAGCCATGGCCAACCACGCGAACCCAGTGCGAATGAGTATTATCGACTGCGGATACAGCCGGGACCAATATCTTAACGTGCCTCCCGAAGCACGGAGTCCAGGATGATAAAATTTTAGTCACCGATCCTATGATTGGCTATTACGAAAGTTGCTTAACAACCGTATCAAGATCAAACGCGCTAGCCAATGCGCCATAGAGCCCCAATTCAGTATTCCTTTTTTAGTTATTCAAAATATTATACTACAGTATTCCTCCTAATTCTTTTGATGAAAGGTGAGGCCAAGGCCCGCAAAACAATTTTGATTTAGAACAGGATGTAAATTATCCTTCTTATAAATACTTGGGTATTGGTGGTCCAAACTAAAATTTCATAATTTTAATCCAATAATGGTGATCATGATTACTACATTGTCGTCTTAACTCATTGCATAGTATCAATATTAATTTAAATTTTAAATTAATCGGGCAAAGGTTGATTTTTTTTTCATATAACATATTTTGAGAATTACATCACTGACTGTATAAATACCATTAGTCTATTTATTTGCAGATTAACTATTTAATATTAAAATTAACTGTAATCTGTTTAAATTATTTAATGTTCACATTTTCTATAGAACATTGCCTTTTCAAGAGAACATTTATGTGAAAATCGACGTAATCGAAGAGTGCCGGTTGGGGTGTGTAATGTTTCACATATAGATGAAACCTGGGATCCTTCTTTAAAACGTCACCTGCAGCCGTCGGCGTTGGGGCTGGCGTAGGCGGTGTTCTACATATCAGTGATTTTGGAGGCTTAAAAGGTCCCCTTCCTGGACTAGGACTCGGTAGCCTAACTTTCCTCCAGAGAAAAGGTTCCTTATGTATCGGGCTATGATGTGTTGCAAGATGTCTCGTGTCAGGCTTCTTAACAGAAGGAAGCGTCAGTTCATACATTTCTGCCAATGATAAATACCAGTAATCAGCTCCATCACCTATAATAGGGAAGAGCCGTTTATTTGAAAACTTCGGTTGATGCTTTTTTACAAACTCCCCATATTTGTTCTTTAATTTTTTCATATATTCGGTATACTGGATAGATTTAAGCAGCTTCTCGAATTCAGAAAGCTGTGCGGAGGCCGGCTCTGAATAGACTCCGGCACAAACGTAAGTCCTCAGAAGATGATGCAGTTTGAAAACCACGAACGCTAGCCACTGCCTAGCTTCTTCCTCGAGTATCTTTAAATCGTCAGCTCTACTTCTGATTCCAAATTCTGCTGCTTCAGCTGCTCGTCTTTCCCCTCTTTCAGTGACAGTCCTCAACCAACGGCGATACGAACGATAGCAGAATTTCATTCTTCTTGAACGGTGTCCTCGATACAATGCCTGAAAGTTGCAAACTTAATAATAGACTAGCTATTTCCTTGCGTAAATTGTAGTTCATATCAACCGTGTATGGAATAGCGTCCTGTAGATGAAAGAATTTTTAAAATCAGTCCAATAGCTTGGAACCTTTTCAATGAAAACAAACGAGCAAATCTTTCGTGTTAACAATATTTGTATAGACAATTTAATCCTGGATTTTTGTTTTGTTCTGGTACAATAATAATTATTACTCCAATTTACGTAGTGATAAATTGTTGAAAACATTTAAATTTTTGAAGAATGATAAATGGTAGTATTATGATTAGGACTACTATAACTAACATTAAATAGTTAGTTTACATGTAAGATATGAACATAAAGCTGAACTTAATTACCTGTATTATTCTTGCTGCCCGAGCATAATGTTTTGCGTGTTTATGGCGCACCGCACGCCTCAAAGCTGCTCGATAAGCCTTTCGGGCCATATGAACCCTAAACGAACACTGTATGATAGTTGCATTCTTTGATAACCACGCGATGTGTTTACGTATCAGATAACTACGAGCCACACGCTGCAAAAGCAACACAGCCAAGAATCTCTCATGGCGACGAGCTTCAGCTGCATCAGTACGATCCTGTAACTCTAAATAAAAATCATGGGCACTTGGTAACAGCCCTGAAACTGATGCCATATCATATTATCATTGAACATAACAATAATGATAGCTATGTGACGCACGCTTGACGTACAGTAGTCAACGTAATTTTTCTTTTTAAAGTCGATTGCGGTACTAATGAGGTTGAATACAATACCCAAAAAGGCAATGGTTCCTCCATTTCATAACATTTTTTTTATTTATGTCCTCAAATGAGGCTGTACCTCGTTTGCCCATTTCGTTACGTTACCCCTCGAGCGACGATACGACTCCTATTTCAAGAGTCCTCTTTCCCCTCAACCCTCACTCAGGTGTGCCTATGTGAGACAACATGAATAATTCAACGATCAAATTGGCAAGGTGTGTATGCCTGTTTATTTATTTTCACCCAGAATTTAGTGGTAATTTACTTACGTTATGTATATCACTACCATATTCGGACTCTTATTCTACTGGGATTTTATAATGCTTACAAAAAGTTACTTTGTGTTTTGGGTTTGTTTCTGAAGTGGAATTCTCTGTATATCGCAAGATCAAATAATTCACACGTATTTAAATCACTTAGATGGTAATCCGTGTATAATAAAAATAAATGTTAATTATAATTAATCATCTAAGACAATTACTTTTTAAGGTGTCTCCTGACAAATATGAAAATATTTTGTTATAGGTTAGGTTAACTGTATTATGTGTCCAATAAGTATTCTTTGAAAGAAGCTATGCTTTTAATTATAATAAGGCAATCGACACCTTTGTTTAAGTGAAAATGGAACCAGCAAAGGAACCAAAACGTGTAAGAATCCAGCCAAGTGCGAATTGGACTCGCGCTTGAGAGATTCCATACCGGAAACGACCAAATAATTACGTTTGTTGTATGGGAGTATCCTTAAATATTTATTTTATTCTGTTTTTTAGCACATGTTGTTATAGTGGTAACATAACTACAGTTATGAACATTTTTGGTACGGAAACTTAAAATAGAAAAGAAATATCGGCGCATTATATCCTTAACGTAGTTTTATTAAGCAAGATTTTCTGTAGACTAATTGTACAATATATACATCGTTAATATATGCGTCTATATTTTAGAGAACTTATTTAAGAGATAAAGTTGCTATGTAGATACTTAAAGTTGCAGACCTAATCCATAGAATTATTTTGTCTGTCTTATAAATATTTGGATAGGGCTAACATAAAATTCATTTGTTTGCGTTTCTCAAATTAAGTTGAACTTTGTCAAGATAATATAATTTATCCGTATTGCGTTATTTACATTTGAGAGTACGTGATTTATTATTTGTAGGAGATTAAAACGTAGCTCAAGAAAGTTAATTTTTTCATGATGCTAAGATAACCTTTGGAAGATTAAACAAAGTTGAGCTCTGTTCCTAAGTAGTTAGTAGCTTTTCTTAAAATCAAGGCTCCCGGGGAGACTGTGACCCTTAATAATTAATAATATACCGCACCGAGACCTCTCTGGGAAGGAAATAATGGTAGTCTTGAATTCTTTAGTGGTTAAGCGTTTTGCGAAGAATCCCTGTCAAGATGTTCAGGAATAAATGACGGAAAGATTCATTCAAAATATAGTTTATGTATCTCATTTTTTATTACTCATTATCCACTTTATGAATGTTATATTAAAATTAATTACTGGCTAATCCCGCTTTTTTTAATAGCTGTAATGTACTAATAAAACGCCGTAAATTATTTACGGCTTACTGTGTCTGTGCTACTCTCATAAAAATTGCATTTTAGTTCAACTTTTAATTAAATGCAATAAAATGACAATTCATATGTCACCATTTTTTTACGAAATATGAATAATGACGTACCAATTTATCATTTCATACAATTTGCATTCAGTTCATAATTTACATACATAGAATAATTTAACAAATTGAAAATTGTATGTATGATTTTACGTGTTTTTTTTATCTTGTTCTAGCATCTTCAGTTAGTTGTTTTTCACGCAGGCGGAATTTTTATTATTATTTTATTTGTGTAATTTTATTTAGACAAATTACAGGGTTGGTTCAGAAACTGACAAAAAACAAAGTCCTCATTTTTAAACTTTACCATTGTATTATTTTTATCGGTATTACGGTAATAATAATTATTATATATTTTTTTGGAATCCTTGTATTGAGCCCTTTAATACACATATTGTATATAATGGCGCCGCAAAACCGCCATATTAGATTTTTTTAAGATTACCAATCTAAGAACACATGGGCTACTAAGACAAATACGACGATACCTCAATTATCTAATTCCGTTTAGCGGTTCTGAAGATCTGAGGTGAAGAATATTACATACATACAATATAAGCGCGAAAATATAACTTTTCCAGTCGGGTAAAAACATGCCAATAAGAAATATCAATGCAGAGTACTTAGAAACAATGATCATCTATTGATTGTACAGAACTTACATCGTCATTTTTAACGCTCAACACACCCACAACCCTTACAAGACATACTGCTTCTTTTTTTTGCAATTTCTCTATGAAGCACAAACTATGCACAAAACTCAATTATATTTCGATTACAGATAACTTACAACAAGCGTTTTCCGACAGTTGATATATTTGCCTGTAATAGTAAAGCATTTTTTAAAAATCATATTACAAAGGCATTGGTAGATTGGTTCTAGACAAAAATTATGACACATACATATACAATACGCGTCTTGCTGTATTTGGTCAAGGTTGTTTAATTCTAATTTTGTTTTATGTAGTTAAATAATGAAAATCCGTCATTGGCTTTAAGATATGTTAAAATTGTTCTACGCTTTTAACATAAAAACTTGCTGTGGATTTTTTTTCTTGAAATAAATAAACAAATATATGAAGCTTATATCTAAGTTAGGTTTACACTTGCCTCATATGATACACTTCTTTATTTCCGAGAGCGATTGACTTAAAATAAATTATAAACTAATAGATAATATATAATAAATTTAGCAGAGGGCTTAGCAGAGTTCAAGCAGAGTTTAATATAATAATTATTTAAGATTTACCTAAATAAGAGCCAACTATTCGCAATTTGAATAAGGCATAATTTATATGATAATTAAAATGTATTTCTACTTCCTTTTCACAATTTTAATAGTTTTAAAAGGGGATTCAATTTTTTTATCTATGTGTTGTGTTTTATTCTGTGAGTTATTTTCAGTTAACATTTTCGTAATAGAATGCCTGTTCCTAACCTAGGAAAACGAAGCAGAAAAATTCAATTATTTTTTTACCACCTCACCAATAGAAAAAATGTGTCAATATTATCTCACAAATTGACATTAGAAAATGTCATTTTACTGCATTTATTGTAACCTTCTTTATTATTTTTTTTTTAATGTGACCGAAACCAGCCAGATACAAATGGTATAGTCAGAAAGATTTTATTACAAGTTTATTAGATTTTATTAAAAGGTTATTATGCTTACTATATTCGAAAAGACCTTTTTCCCCAACCCAGTAGTTGACTTTGATCTTTAGATTTTCCTCTCTATAATCTATACATATATAAAAGGAGATGTCCTGACTTACTGACTGACAGCCAACGCACAGCCTAAACCGCTGGTCGTAGAAACTTGAAATTTGAGAGAACATTTCCCTAAGTACGTAGAGGTGTACTAAGAACTGATTTTTGGAAATTCCATCCCGAAAGGGGTCAAAAAGGGTGAAAAAGTTTGTATGAAACTTTTTTGTTTATGGACCTATGTCGATGAAAATTAGTATCTGGGTAGTTTATGACCCTAGAAAGGTAGTTGGTTATATTTTATCCCGAAAACTAGCACTTAAAGGGATAAAAATGGGAGTGAAAGATTTTATGGGGAATCAAAATGTTACCATAGCAACCATTGTTCATAATCTGATTTGTCATTGTAATAAATCTAACTTATAGTATTTGTAAAGATTTCCTTATATTGTGATTAAAACTGGTATTTGAGTACAATTGATGACAAAAATAACAATTTAAATAAATATTTTTGATAATATTCAATTACAGTAAAAATAATTATATATACGAAAGAAAGAAAACACAAACTATATATTTTCTATTATACTAGATGCCGTTTAGTATACTTCTATATCGCACTGTTTTGGTATAGATTGTTTGGTATATAGTTTTCAAATAAAATTTATTGAGAACTTAAAGCTCCTTTAAGCTTCATTTTGATAAGTAGCTCGGAGGCGTAGCAGATAAGCGCCGCGGCTCGCGATCGATAAGCTATTTTCACAAGGCTTGGTCACGGGATGGGTGACCAAAAATGGTTATCTCGAGCTACTCTGTCATTCGGAAGGCACGTTAAGCCGTTGCTTTTGCAGTCGTTTATACCCTCCAAACCGCATTGGATTATGGAGGGTTATGGCCCGTCCTCCTTAACGATCTATAAGGAAGGCCTGAGCTCCTGCAGTGAGGACGTAAAAGGGCTGATAATGCCGATTAAAAATTTAATAAAATTAATAATTGTGTTCGTATTGTGATCCTTGACAGTTAACCAGTTCCCTGGGCTTTGTACAGATGCACTGTAGAAGGATATTATGATGGGATCGACGTTATTTTTTTAATTCTATTGCA